AGACCCAGAATCGGAAACAGGTTCCAGGCTCTGAGCAGTCAGCACAGAGCCCAGTGCGGGGCTCGAACTCACGGACCGCGAGATCATGACCTGAGCCGAAGTCGGAGGCTTACCGACTGAGCCACCCAGGCGCCCCGGCAATTTGAACTTTTCGCTTCCATATCAGAGCAGTGTCTTTTACCTCTCGCCACCTTTCCCATTCACCCGCCATTTGTACTTCCTTCTCATCACTCATTATTTCAATGAATATTTTGTGCGCACCAACTGTGAAGCATACGCTGTAGTAGGAGCCGGGGAAACGTGGGTGAAAGCCACAACCCTGTTCTCAACATGCTCACCGGCTATCAGAGGAAGAAGGCCTGTGAACAATGAAGTTGAGCAGAGTAAATATGAAAACAAAGGGGAGAGGGCAGTTAATTCTTCCCTTGGTGGTGGGGGGTGGGTGGGTAGGACAGGAGCCGAAACGTCAGAGAAGAACATTTACAAGGCATGAGCGTTTTGAAGGACCTAACATGTTCAGTGAACGACAAGAAGTTTATAGTGGCGGGGAGGAAAAGAAGGCTGAGTAGACAGTGGGGGTCCATGTCCGAAAGATCTTTGTTCAGGAAACGAAGGGGTTTGGATTTAATGGGAAGGCATTGGACATCTTTAGCGGGAGAGTGACAGCAGCTTGGTTTTAAAGGAAAAGACCTGTGAGAGACAAGTCTAGGATAAATGGGAGTGGGGAGAGATCAACAGAGAGGCCAGTTAGGATGTCACTGCATCCAAAGGGGTGATTTGGAACTGGTGAAGAGCTTGGGCTAGAAGACCTGGAAAGGAGAATAGACTCTCTTTGATTGTAATCCTTTTTTTTGACTCTTCTTATCTTCAAGTCCTGCAAAACTCAAAGCAGTAGTTGCAGTGGATGATGCTAAGTATGCTCCAATTAGAGGAAGTGTTGCCAGACTTGGGAAGGGTCCATAGAGAGCTCACAAGGAATGTTACTATGAGGATATTTCTGGAAATGTTGGTCCAGGCCCAGCTTTTCAATTATGTTTGTATTAATGGCTTGAAGATGGAAACCTTGGTCAAGGTTGTAGATGCTAGAGAGTTGAAAGTTGATAGTTTATACACTGAATGAAAAGAATTGAATTCCAAACAGATAACTAAAATATCCAGAGATAAGCTAAAATCTAAAAAGATGAAATGTAATAGGGGTACATGTGAGGTGCTGCAGTTGGGTCAAAGAAATTAATGCATAATTACAGAATGGAGAAAATCTTCATTTATAAATATTTTTTTAGTGTTTATTTTTGAGAGAGAGAGAGACAGAGAATGAGCAGGGGAGGGGCAGAGAGAGAGAGAGGGGGAGACACAGAATCTGAAGCAGGCTCCAGTCTCTGAGCTGTCAGCACAAAGCTGACGCGGGGCTCCAACCCACGAACTGTGAGATCATGACCTGAGCTGAAGTCGGGCGCTTAACCGACTGAGCTACCCAGGCACCCCGAAAATCTTCGTTTATGAAAATGTGGAATTAAAACAATTTTTTTTAATGTTTATTTATTTTTGGAGGAGAGAGAGAGACAGAGTGTGAGTTGGGAGAGGGGGGCAGAGAGAGAGGGAGACACAGAATCTGAAGCAGGCTCCAGGCTCTGAGCCGTCAGCACAGAGCCCGACGCGGGGCTGGAACGCACAAACCACGAGATCATGACCTGAGCCGAAATCAGCTGCTCAACCAACTGAGCCACCCAGGCTCCCCAATAAAGGTGTGGAATTTTAAATGACGACTCATTGATATGATGTCCCTCCTTTCAAAATTAATGGTTTCTTATGCTATTGCAAAAGGTGTATGGTGTTATGGTAGGAGCTACTGTAAAAAAAAATAGGTCCCTAAATCTCAGTGGTATAATATCATTGAAATTCAATTCTTGCTCAGTTAACTAACTGTCCAAGTCAGATATTCTGTGTCTTGTGTTACTTCCCTCCACATGGAGACCCACATCCTGGGGTCCTTCCATCTGGTGAACTCAGCAACTCTCTAAGCTTTGGCCTCAATGTCATTTGCATCTAGCTTGAAGAAGAGGAAAGAGAGTAGAGAGGGGACGTCTGATTCATAAAAACCTTGGCCCAGAGGCATCATAGGTCATTTCCCCTCATATTTCATTAGCAGGGGAGACTAGCAAATACAGTTCCTGGATGGGCAGCTGTTTCGAGTGACAAATCTATGGTATGGAAGTAGGAAGACACTTCTGCTGAATTGTTTGCCATCTATGGCTTTTGTGCCATCCAGAATGGAGATATTTTTAGCTTTGGCCAGTTTCCAATTCTTGGATTCGTGTCCATTGAGAATGTCCTATTTTAGGAAGGAAATTGGCAAAATGAAGTATTTGGAGGCAACTGAATAGAAGACACAAAGATCTGTGAATGTTTCTTGTAGGAAAGAGAAGACCCAGGAGGAACTCCATGTCTATTTCCAGCTATTGGAAATTTTCTGAAATGTTACTGTTCCCCTACGTTCTGTGTTTATGCTTCTCCTTTCTGTACCTGGTTCTGTTCTGTAACTGGATGATTGATATAGTCTTAAGCTCATATTATTCGTTGAGATGCTGGGTTTATTTCTCCAACTCGGTCTTTCCTCTGAGTTGACTTGTATCCAATTACTAACCATTCGTCTTAACTGGCGTTTTAAACTGACATCAACAAATCCACATCTTCACCTCACCCTGACACCTCCAACTTGGTGTACCAGCAATTGGCTAACCAACAGTCATTCAGTTACTCAAGTTAGAAGCCAAAGAATCATCTTGGAAGTGCCATCTCTCTTTTACCATCTTCATCAAATTAATTTTCCAGGGGCATCTGGGTAGCTCAGTCAGTTAAGTGTTTGACTCTTGATTTTGGGTCAAGGCATGATCTCATGGTCATGATCTCATGGTCGTGAAATCAAGCCCGGTATCGGGCTCCGTGCTGGGCATAGAGCCTTCTTAAGATTCTCCCTCTCTTTCTGCCCCTCCCCCACTTACACTCTCTCCGTAAAAGAGAAAAAAAAAGCAGTTTTCTGGGCGTGTCAATTTGATGTCATAAATATTTCTGAACTGTATCCACATTAGTACAGATTCAATTCAGGTTTTCATCATTTTTCACCTGGATAACTGAAATAACTTCTTAAATGGTTTTGCCTCTTCTACCCTTGTTTCTCTATACCGCCACGAGGATGATCTAACAAAGAGGTAAATCTGATGTTATTATTCTCTTTTTTAAACCATATCAGAGCCTCTAGGTATGACATAGAGGTAAGTCTCTATCAGGTTCTTGCCTATGCCTAACCCCATTGTATGCCACTCCTTCCTTATAGCATTCTACTTGTAGTTCCTTGAATATACCATACTATTTCCCATTTCTGTTTCACTTTTCCTGAAAATTTTCCCTTTAGAAAATTACTTCCTTGGCTAACTCTTATTTGTCTTTACAAATTCCCTTAAGACTTTCTTTAACTTCCCAAACCGGGATTAAGCACCCCTTTCTATGCGTCCGAACACGGAGTATACTAGTACACATCTGCCTCCCCATTACAATGTAATTATCTCTAGAGCAAGGACCCTGCCTCATGCATTCATTCATTCACTCATTCGTCGATTCATTATCTAGTACCCATCACAATGCCTGGCACACATTCAAAAATGTCTGTTGACTTGAATTGTCATGCGGAAGAGAGAACAGATTTATTTGGTCTCTGCTATCTCAAAATTCAAAGCCGCAAAGCTACATGATAGCAGATTTTGGCTTCTATTAGGTGGTAAAGCATAAAATTGGTAGGTGGCTTTGGAAAATAGTGTATTTCTTCTTGTGATGTTCGAGTAGAGGCTGGAAGGCTCACTTGATAAGGAATCATGGTAGGGATTGAAGCAGCCAATGGAGGTTGGTAACATGCCGGTACACTGTAACATTTTATAATTTTGATTCACGTTTGATTTTTTTCTATAAAACAAATGTATTTTAATCATCTGAAGTGTGTTATGGAATGTAATCCATGGTTTGGGAAAATGCTTTAAAGAAGAAACCAACGCAGAGATCTGTAGAAACCTGTAGAAAACCTGTAGATCCGTAGGAGACCTGGTCTAAATAATATATATTTTAATGAGCTTTGGAAAAATAGAATTTTTTTTTTGAGTCCGACTCCTCCAGCTCACTTTTCTTATGTTCATGCATATTATAAGAGCCGGGCCACAAAGGGGGCTAAGACCTATAATTGATATGCTTTAATGAGCAATGTTTATTTTGTTATGTTACTTTCTGTACCCCAAATATCTATATATTTAGTTTCTCATAAAGGATTCAACAGAGAAAATGACTAATTGCTCAAGAGTCCACGAATACGTTCAGGGTTCTGAACTATCGCACTGATTCGATTTAGAATAATCGGACCCTTAATACTGTGACCTCGAATTGCAAGTCATTTGGTCTGGCTTTTCTGGATGGCAACATTTAGAAAGGAAACAGCATTAGGCAAATACAGTAAACATTTTCTTTTTCCAGGAAAGCGCTTTCTTTTATCTCCTGGGCCACCTATGCCTTCAGAAGCTGAAACTCCAGGAGAAATGTAGCTTTTCATTATCTAGCCTTTAAGCCTGCCAGTAAATTTTATTTTCCTAATGTCCAGGACGTTTATTTTTCTATCAGTCTTTAAGGAAGATGAACCCATTTTTCCCACAGTACGGAGGAGCATGCACTTGTATACTTTCCTTGCATGAAAACAATGTTTGTTTTTTTTGTTTCGGGTTTTTGTTTTGAACACATGTAAGCTCTTTGAGGGGAGGCATATTGCCATTATTTAAGAAAGAGCTGGGTGTGTGTGGTGGGAAGAGCACTGGATCTGGAGTTAGGACCCCAGTTTTAACTCCGGCTGGCTGTTGTCTGGGAGCTCTGCTCCCACTCACAAAATGACGTCATTGGACCAAACAGCCTTTAAGCTCCCAGCTACTCTAACATTCTGTGTTCTGAGATTTCCCATGGCACCTCCCTGATGCTTACTCATTGGGTCTGACCAACTTAAGTGAAGAAAATGACCTAAAGCTGGTGTTCAAACCCAAGGTCCTCAATTACATTTTTCACCGAGTACACTCCTCAAGAAAGAATGACGCCATTGACCGTGGATTCCCTTTCATGGACACCCCCTGCCTACATTACTAGGATGGTTTATCAGTGATTATTAAAGGTAGGCATGGGATTCTGTTTATAACAATTACTTCCAAATTTGCCTCTCTTTCACTGGTAGCTTCCCACTCCAGTTTATCCTACAAACTACTACAAATTTAATTTTCCTACTAATTTCCTTTCATTTACCTGCTCAAAAATGCATGTGAGCTCTTGATTGTTTATGGGAAAAAACCCGCCATATTCCTAAGTATGTAGTTCAAGGCTCCATACTATGGCCCCAGTCTGTCTTTCCAAATTTATCACTGAACATATTCTATGCTTTAAACCTCTGTTCTGAGCAGAACTGAAAGCTTTATTGTCGTTTCAGGGTGGGGAGATGGGAGGCCTTCCTACCTGCGTGCCTTTGTTATGGAAGGCAGTCTCCCTGCTCAGACATCCCCATTCTTACTGTTTAGAAATCCATGGAAATTTCTTTAGAAATGTAATTTTTTTTTTAAATTTTTTTTTTCAACATTTATTTATTTTTGGGACAGAGAGAGACCAAGCATGAACGGGGGAGGGGCAGAGAGAGAGGGAGACACAGAATCGGAAACAGGCTCCAAGCTCTGAGCCATCAGCCCAGAGCCCGACGCGGGGCTCGAACTCACGGACCGCGAGATCGTGACCTGGCTGAAGTCGGACACTTAACCGACTGCGCCACCCAGGCGCCCCTTTAGGAATGTAATTTAAATATTTCAATTAAAATTCAATATAAAATTTAAATAGAAGTACTTCCCTTTTTTTTTTTTTTACAGTCCGTTCAAATCCATTCCACTCTCTTGTCGCTGATCCCCAAAGCCCGCCACGATCGTGCTCAGTTACTATGTAGGGTCACCATCAACGTTTAGCCCTCAACGTATTTTGGATAATTATACGTTTTGCATTTTAGCAGGAACTGCCTACCAGTGCTAAGGTGTGTGTTTCTTGTTTTCTCACTGGATTAAGATCTCCTTGAAAGCAAGAGTAGAGTCTTAACCCATATTTGGATAATCTGTGCTTACTAGTCTGTATTCCCATATTATCTCATTCAAATCACCAGTAAGGTACTGATTATATGACTTAGTGGCTGTTTACATTTCTGTCTTCGTAGGTAAGCTACGATTTTTTTCTATTGCAAGAGCAACACCACCTGTGTTTTCTCCCTAGTGGTGAGCCCCAGTGCCTGGCACATGGTAGATGTTCAATAAGTGTTTGTTGAAAGAATGAGTGCAGTCAGATTTGACTTTGCCAGAAAGAGCTGACTTTGTAAGAAGTTGATAAATTGAGCTGCTTTATGATCAGTCTAAAACGTAGAAGGTGATTGCCTCTGAAAATAGGATGCATCTTTTCTTTGTTTCTTGGCATTTTTCCTATTAGGAGTAGAACTTGAGCAGATTAAATAGGACTCAATCTCGAATCCACAAATGACACCAAGCCTGAAATGATGCTGAGGTTGGAAGCGATTTAGTTCACTTGAATTTTATTTGGGGGATAATGTTTTCCTTCTGGGAAGAGAAATGCTAATGAAAAAATCGCCTCCCGACTACAACGCAGAAGTAATAGGAATCTGGCCAGAAATATGATCTTATGAAAATTCTCCAAGCAAAGCATCTTATACTCATGTCTGTGCCTTTGGATTGACATTCTGATGTTTGCCTTTCTCTGGTTTCCAGAGCTCAGGGTGGAGAGAGGCGCCAGGGTAACAAGCCAAATAGGTCTATTATGGGATGTCATGCTCACTGGGCATGAGTGCTGTCTCCTAGGACATTTATAGCGTTCATTACTCAGTCCAACTTTAATAACACATGGACAAGCCTGGGGCAATTTGTAAAGGATCTGAGAGTTTTTTTGTTATGAAAGTCTATATTATAGAATTAGCGGGTCTCGGGATTGGACTCGATTGGAAAGATGATCTCATCAAAGGACCCATAGCTCTCTACTGGAGAAGAACTGCTTTCAATAACCCTGACATTGTAAATGGCCATGGGTATTGGGGGACCATTTGTAAGACTAAGTTAACAGATGGTGACTGTTAACGTTGGAAGTTAGGATATGGGCAAAATGGCAAATGCTGATTCTACTTTTTCCCTGCAGCCAAGGGAGCTATGAAGAGGTGGGACAGGGAGTGGCCAGCCATCCTAACCTTTCTGCTATAAACCCTAGAGAGGAGAACATGAGGGGGATCAGTGATGTAAGTCAACCAAGAGAGATTCCGGTGTCTTCTAGATTAGCGTTTCTGACCTGTTCTCCAGCTCACTCGGAAGACTTGATAAAATTCAAATTCAGACTCAGGAGTTCTGCGGTAGGGTCTGAGATTCTGTACTTCTAACAAGGTTCCAGGTGGTGCCAGTGCTGCTGATACATGAGCCACATTTTGAGTAGCAAGATTCTAGAATCTACCATCCGGGTCAGTCTGTTGGATACTGAGCCCCATGTGAACCACCTCAAATAGAGAAGAAATAGACTCCAAGCAAATAAGGATGAAAAGATTACTGAATTATAGGTGATCAAAATTAAAAAAAAAATCCGGAAGATGATCCAGTTCATTGGTTTCCGATTTTTTTATTGTTTCTTTTTTAAATTTCTTTTTGAAAATCAAAGTTACATGCCGAATCTCAATGTATGAAATGGCTCAAAGCTTTCGTGTTTCGATTACATCTGGAACAGAAGCTTGGAGGCAACCCCTCCTCCTATGACTCTCCTCAAAGACTCCTAGTCTGTAGAACCCTAGGACTCTGAGTAGCACTGTTTGGAAACGACTGACCTTATTTATTGAATGCATTAGGAAATCATAAAATGGAACCCATATCCAAATCCTGATTGCTAGTCTGATGTTCTTTCTAATATGCAAGGGCAGCATAACTTATTACCTTGGCTTAGAAGCTAATTATCATTGATATGGGTCGTCTTTGACTATCTGAGCTCTGGTCAGTCTCTGACACAGTACTTGGTACTTGCTACATCACCCTTAGCTAACTGTGTGGGCTGGGGGAAGTCGCGTAGCCTTTTGGAGCCCCCATTTCTTGATCTATAGAATGAAAAAAAAAAACCAAAACCTGCTGTGAACTTCTCTACATATATCACCAGCACAGAGTATCCAGAATCTTAGAAGGACGAAAGAGGGGCGCCTGGGTGGCGCAGTCGGTTAAGCGTCCGACTTCAGCCGGGTCCCGATCTCGCGTGATCTCCCGTGATCTCGCGTGAGTTCGAGCCCCGCGTCGGGCTCTGGGCTGATGGCTCGGAGCCTGGAGCCTGTTTCCGATTCTGTGTCTCCCTCTCTCTGACCCTCCCCCGTTCATGCTCTGTCTCTGTCTGTCCCAAAAATAAATAAACGTTGAAAAAAAAATTTTTTAAAAAAGAAGGACGAAAGAAACATGCAGCGAATGCAAATGAAATGCGGGCAACAACTGTACTTGTCTTCTCTACCGTCGTAACCCCTCTGAATGCCTTGGCCTGTCATCAGCCGACACTCTATAAATATTTGCTAAACAAACGAAGAATGGTGATGTCATAGGCGGGAAACTATCTTATAACTTGTAAGTGTTAGATATAAATTTAAGGGACCATTAGGCTTATCATCATTATCAAATAAGCTCGAGACTGTCTGAGGTGCTCTGCTGGGTGTTGACAAAAGGGAGCCACATTCTCTCTGTCTCCGGCACCTGGTGACTCACAACCTCTGACAAACAACAAGGATTGGGATATAAGGGGCTCAGCGAGCGTTGGAGGGAGCCCCGGTCCTTTAAAAAGGGATGAGTAAGACGATTTTGCATAATACGCAGATAATGGAAACGCGTTGCACGCTGAGGAACAAGGGCAAATACATTTCGGGTGGAAAGTAGTCACAGATAATCTTGCTTTCGCACTAGGCCGCGCAAGAGATTTTGTTAGCCTTCCTCCGAGAAACTGGAGAAGGCATCACGAAAGAAGTGGCATTTGCAGCATCTTGCAATTCCCAATTCTTTTGGCAACAGGGTAAAGCATTTGTCAGAGCGGAAGTCAGACTATCATCTGGCGCGCTTCTGGGTAGAGGCCAGTCTAGAAAGCAGTTGCACTTTATGTAAAGAATCGCATAGCAGACAAGTACAAACTCTGCTCCTCGTCCCGGTCTTGTTTGTTTTCCTGGGGAGCAAGACACTGGGGACACAGTGCCCAGATGGATGGCTTGGGGCTGGGCTGTGGAACGACACTCCGCAGCAGGCATCAACCGCCCCAGGATCAATTTATCTTCTTTTCTGATTTGCAGAAGCCTTGACGGAGAATATCCGCTGGTTCTGTTGGAGGAAAGAGACTTCCTGAGACATGATGTAATTTTTGCAAAGGGGAAACACATGTCGGGTCCTGCAGTACAGAACAATACCGAGGTGCTGATAGCCCTTCTCTCAGTCACATGACAGGATACAGGGTGGGTTGGGTACTGCTACCCAGGAGCCTTTGGAGCAGGGGGCTGGGGGATGGGAAAGGCAAAAGAAAAGGCTCCGAGGCTTTTTAAGTACAGGGATTCCATTGAGTTTATGAGAGTCAGAGAGGAATACTTTTGTGTTTTTAGTTAGAATGATCTTTGTCTTTGGCACAGAGCATCTCACACGTGTGCTGCTTTTTTTCCTCCTGATGCACAGGTACTTACAGTGTTTGCACAAAGAAAAAGTGTCAGTAGATCCACATTTTGTTTCTATTGCAAAAACATTTCTTAAGTTGATTTATTTTGAGAGAGAGAGAGAGAGAGCGCACAAGCAGGGGAGGTACAGAGAGAGGGAGAGACAGAATCCCAAGCAGGCTCCAGGCCATCCGTGCAGAACCCGATGTGGGGCTCATGAGCTGTGAGATCATGACCTGAGCCGAGGTCAAGAGTGGGATGCCGAACTGACTGCGCCACCCAAGCGCAGCCTGCTAAATCTGTATTTTAAAATTCAGCAAAATAAGTGACCATTTTATCAGCATTATCATTCTTTTTAAAACTTTTATTTATTCATTTTGAGGGCGAGAGAGAGAGAGAGAGAGAGAGCGAGCAGGGGAGGGACAGAGACAGAGGGAGACCCGGAATCCAAAGCAGACTCCAGGCTCTGAGCTGTCAGCAGAGAGCCCGACATGGGGCTTGAACCCATGAGCTGTGAGATCATGACCTCAGATGAAGTCAGATGCTTAACCCGTTGAGCCACCCTGGCACCCCTCAGCGGTATCGTTCTTGCTGAAATTTTCATGATATTACGTAACTCTTGTAGCTCTTACAGAATAGTGGGTGACCCACTGGCATGAGGACTTAAAGTACACTTTAGGTTTTACCCCACCCCCCCACCCCCCAACACTTGAAGATTAAATACGTATCCATAAGCGGCAGGGAGAACTCAGGGCTTGCGTAGGAAGCAGAAGATTGACTAAGGTAATACCTGTGTATGTTCGTTTCAGCCTCTCTCTGTAGCTGGTATCGACTTGTTGCATAGCTCTGTTTTATTTAGGTGCTGTGTACTGACAAAAGGGAAAGTCCCTCACTTTTCTTCTTTACGCAGTTGTTTTTCTAGCTGCTGAGATGGTAGACACACAAGCCCTTGCTACTCAAAAGTGGATTCCTCTCAGCCCAGCAGCACCGACAGCCCCTGGGGGCTTGTCAAAGTGCAGAGATCAGATTCCGCTCCAGGGGACTCACGCACACAGTCAACCTGAGAAACACTGGTGTAAGTCATATATCGTGCCGGGGGCGCCTGGGTGGCTCCGTCGGTTGAGCGTCCGACTTCGGCTCAGGTCATGATCTCGCGGTCTGTGAGTTCGAGCCCCGCATCGGGCTCAGCTCGGAGCCTGAAGCCTGTTTCAGATTCTGGGTCTCCCTCTCTCTCCGCACCTCCCCCACTCATGCTCTGTCTCTCTCTGTCTCAGAAATAAATAAACATTAAAAAAAAATCTATATCGTGAGAACATATAAAATGAAGAAATTACTTCTGGAAGGGTGATAGTGGAAGACTGAGATGGGTCTTGAAAAATGGATACCTGGAAGCATGCGCAAAGCCTTGAAAGTGAAGAAAACAGTGGCTTAGAGAACAGGGATCATCCAGTAGGCAAACATATTATAGGGAAGATAGGAGATGAAAGGTGAAAGTAATACATCCTCTAGGGATGAATCCCATACTAGAAGTTTGGGCTTTTGTAGTACAGATAAAAAAAAAATGCAATCGCCTCATGCTTACACAGCAATACTTCTGATAGGAATAGTAACACTAACAACAATATTATATTATTAAAATTAAAGTTATAGCATGTAAATTTCTATTCAGAGAGGTTTTTTTTTTTTTTTTAATAAGAGCTGTTATTTCATTAAGTTTTTACAGAAACTGTGCATCACAGGGGCTATTCCTATATTCGTTGAGGGGCAGATTTGTGAAGAGGTGAAGAAAATCTTTTTTTTCTCAGCACTTTGAAGGTATAGTTGCATTGTCTTCTGGCTTGCATTATTCCTGGCAAGAAGTCCATGGGATTATGTGGCTCTGGTAATGTAATGTGCATTTTTTTTCTCTGTATGCTTCTGAGCTTTTTTCTTTATTACTGGTTTTTTTTTTTTTTTTTTTTTTTTTTTTTGCAATTTGATAGTGATGTGAGTTGTTGTATTTTATTTTATTTTTTTTATTTTTTTTTTTCAACGTTTTTATTTATTTTTGGGACAGAGAGAGACAGAGCATGAATGGGGGAGGGGCAGAGAGAGAGGGAGACACAGAATCGGAAACAGGCTCCAGGCTCCGAGCCATCAGCCCAGAGCCTGACGCGGGGCTCGAACTCACGGACCGCGAGATTGTGACCTGGCTGAAGTCGGACGCTTAACCTACTGCGCCACCCAGGCGCCCCGAGTTGTTGTATTTTAAAAACCAAATTTGGAAAATTTAGCCATGACTTCTCTGCTTTTTCTCTCTCTAACTACACACGTAGTAGATACTTGAGGTTGTTCTATAGGTCACCAGGACTGTCCATTTAATTCCCGGTTCCTTTTTCCCTGTTACGCTCTAGTCTAGATAGTTTTTATTACTATGCTTTCAAGTTTACTGATATTTCTTTTAATATGCTGTAATCCCGTAAACTTTCCAGTTTGGATATTGTAGTTTTCGTTTCTAGAAAATCCATATTTTTAGTGTGTGTATTATATCTTCCATTTCTTTCCACATTTTGTTGATATTTTCTTCTAAATTAAGGGTTAGTCAGCTGTGGCCTGGGGGCCAAATCCAACTGATGACCTATGAGCTGAGAATGGGTTTTACGTTATAAAGGATTATTTAAAAAAAAAAAAATTTTCTGTAGAGAGCATATGCGGTCCACAAAGCTTAGCGTATTTGTTATGTGGCCCTTTACAGAAAAAGCTTACTGCTCCATCTTTAAGTCGCTGATTTAAATCATAGAGCAGCTGTATTAGAGTCCATGTGCTAATTTTGTTGCCTCTGTCATTTCTGGGTCCGTTTCTATTGACTCATATGTTTCTCCTCGGGTGCTGCTTCTTGACAAGTCTAGTAATTTTTTATTGGAAGTTGGGCATTATGAAAGTTATGTGTTGACTATTTGAATTTTGGTGTCTTTCTTTCAAAATGTTGTGGTTAAAAATAAATAAAGAAAAATGTTGAGGTTAGTTTGGCAGGCCATCAAATTCCTTGTAGATCAACTTGATACCTTTGGGGCTTTATTTTGGGACTAGTTTAGCCATACTACCAAGGTGAGACTTTTCTGGTGTCTTCCCTCCCTCCCTCCCTCCCTCCCTCCCTCCCTCCCTCCCTTCCTCCCTTCCTCCCTTCCTCCCTTCCTCCCTTCCTCCCTTCCTTCCTTCCTTCCTTCCTATGTTTGTT